TCACCCTCCCTCAGACGAAGGGGGGCGCAGGGGTAATTTTCGAAAGGAAATCGGACGAAATATGAAGTTACATTATTTATTGAGAATAAAAACATTTAAGGCTCAGTGTGGCATGGGGGGGGGGGGAGAATTGTTAGGAAATCGCCGTCTTTTGTCCGATGCCTTTTTCGCACCCTCGCACCCCTCAACCACCACTTAACCATATTTTGGCGTTTATTGAAAAACGCCGAGTGCTAAAAGAATGCGGTTCTATACGCTGGTCTCGTATTCGTACCCTCCGATTTCACAACCCAAATTTTAACCCTCATTCTACCCCCAACTACCATTAATTGGTACTTTATCATATTTTGGCGTATATTCGAAAACGCCGAGGGGTTGAACCATGCGGTTTACCATGACCTCGTACTCGTACCCTCCGACTTTATAACCATATTTTTCTCAAAAGGGGATTCAAAATTTCAAACGCGAATTAAGGTGTAACGGGACATCGGAAGTAGGTACAGACAAAGGCGATGTGGTAGTCCCCGACAAGATCTTACTGATAGTAGACTCATAACAACAAACGCGAATTGCGGTGTAACGGGACGTCGGAAATGGGTACCGACAAAAGGAATATCGTAGCCCCCGACAAGATTTTACTGATGGTGTAATCAAATTTCAATCGCGAATTTCGGCGTAACGGGGCGTCGGAAGGAGGTACCGACAAAGGGAATGTGGTAGCTCCCGACAAGGTCTTACTGCTGGAGTAGTCGAATTTCAAATGCGAATTTCGGCGTAACGGGACGTCGGAAGGAGGTACCGACAAAGGGAATGTGGTAGCTCCCGACAAGGTCTTACTGATGGAGTAGTCGAATTTCAAACGCGAATTTCGGCGTAACGGGACGTCGGAAGTGGGTACCGACAAAGGGAATGTTGTAGCCCCCGACAAGATCTTACTGATAGTAGAGTCATAACATCAAACGCGAATTGCGGTGTAACGGGACGTCGGAAATGGGTACCGACAAAAGGAATATCGTAGCCCCCGACAAGATTTTACTGATGGTGTAATCAAATTTCAATCGCGAATTTCGGCGTAACGGGGCGTCGGAAGGAGGTACCGACAAAGGGAATGTGGTAGCTCCCGACAAGGTCTTACTGCTGGAGTAGTCGAATTTCAAATGCGAATTTCGGCGTAACGGGACGTCGGAAGGAGGTACCGACAAAGGGAATGTGGTAGCTCCCGACAAGGTCTTACTGATGGAGTAGTCGAATTTCAAACGCGAATTTCGGCGTAACGGGACGTCGGAAGTGGGTACCGACAAAGGGAATGTTGTAGCCCCCGACAAGATCTTACTGATAGTAGAGTCATAACATCAAACGCGAATTGCGGTGTAACGGGACGTCGGAAGTGGATATCGACAAAAAGGGAATGTGGTTGCCTCTGGCAAGGTCTTACTGATAGTGGAGTCAAACTTCAAACGCCGATTCATAAAATTGGTTTTGAGCATGCAAAAAGTTAAGATACGATCGCGGTGGTTCACATGCAAGTGTGCTTTTGTTAAACTTGCATTTTTGGCTATTTGTTGGCATTGCACCTAAACAGGTCAGCAACAAATTCCGATGCTTGATTTCTAATTTTTTGTTGTAGACCAACTCGTAGAGCGCAGTTGCTTGTTAAACTAGCTCGATTGGAAGAGAAAGGCCATACCGTGCCAATCGACAATAAGAAACAGGAAGATGGGGGTAGGTTCTGTATTTTTATATGATGTATTTTATATCTTGGCATGGCGTTGCGTGGTGCTGAATTTTGTGTTACTAAATGTCAAAGATAACTTTGTTTTAAAAAGAACATCATGCATTTATTTTCACTTTACTAGGTACTTTTCTTCCCTAATGGGCAAACGATCCATAAATTTTCATTATTCACGCTTTTGAGTTTGTGTGTAAATTTTATTTAACTTCAAGCAAAGAACTTGATAATAATATATGCACATACATTAAGGTGTGGGTTATGAAAGCAGTCCTGCTCCATCACCTGAAGATTTTGATTCAGATGATTCCTTCGGAGACCCACAATATATGCCAAATGACTCAGACCCACAGGCAGAAAGTAGTTCTGATTCTTTTGTTTCCGATGTATGCGAGGTGAGTAGTACTGATTCATTATAACCAGAAAGCCAATATGATCATACCTTCATTAATCCAATTACGTTGAGTGTGTTTTTTCAAAATGTTATGTTCCTAGATATAATGTAAATACGGAAGGGGTTAATTCTTTTGGCTTAGATATGTTAGTTCATATAAATATAGGTCCGAAAATACCAATTTAATTTTCTGACTTCTTTAGAAACTTTTTGGTCTTTTGTAAATCTTTTTTCTGTCAGCTATCGACAAAAAACTAAAAATCAATTTTCGGTAGTTAGCTAAATGAAAGTAAAATTATTAAAATGGTCTAGTAGATCCTGATTTTATTTAGATAATATTTTGTTTTAATCAGGTTTGACAGTTCACATTTAAAATTGTATGTTGTATACTTAGACAAGAGAAAAAAAAGAGGACAGGTAACACGTATTTACTGTCAAGCGCATTGAGTGTTACCAATATTTGAACGAATGGTGACAAGCAGTGCGTGTGTCACCGTCGCATTTTTCAGTGATTCTCCTTTTTTGTCAGTGTGCGAGTGTAATTCTCTATTATTTAAAATGGCGATGTGTGCTGCTTTAAATTGCAAAAGTCGAAGTGACAAAAAGGAGCCAAAGTTGAACAGTTATGGTGACAATCGGTAACACTTACGCCTGCGGCATTACCTGTCCTCTTTTTTTTACCTTGTCTAAGGTTGTATAAGTAAATTGAAAGTTTGAATTTTAAAGTGTATGTTGAAATTACAACAATCCGGCAACGAAGTGTTTGCGGTCCTATGGTAATATTATATGAATATTAAGCCAAAGAATTAGCCCTTTCCGTATTTGTGTCATATATGTGCGAACACCCTGTAAACCCGTATGAAAGGGTCTATCTGAATAGAATTTTTTTATGAACCTAACTCATAGATTAAGGTTAACTATTTACAAAAATGTTTTAGGAACCGGAAAAGATGAAAATAAACATTATAAGTGACATAACCATAAAGGGGCCGGCTTTAGATTGTTCAGTAAGTAAATGTATTATTCACGTTTATCTTTCATAAATGTACAGGGTTTTCAGCGGTGGGTTTTACCCTTTGATAATTTGTATCGCTTCGCGTTTGTTATACTCGTACCTAGATGGCAGCACAATAACTTTATCCACCTACACCGTGCGGTCCATTTATCTTGAGACGGCCGATTGTTGCGGAAACTAGTGAGGATGTCAATAAAGAACTTATGTAAACTATTCTTCATATGGAGGGGCCCATACACATTTTCACATAACTGTCCCTTAAGGGTCAAATATAGAGCAACCTAATTTTTTCAAATAGACACCTATACTTTTTATTAAACATTCTTATTCTACATCGGAAGGTAATAAACTTTCGTGAGAAACGTTTTTCCCTTCACTTACCATTTTTTGAAAACACTTTTCCAAATTTTACAATGCTCCAGTAATGGCATAGGTACAATATTATGTAGTATGCGGCAATAACAAAAATGCGTACGTCTATTTGAAAAAATTAAGCTGCCCTACACTTGACTCTTAAGTAAAGGCCAGTTATGTGAAAATGTGCATAGTATCATTACATGCGCCCCATAATATGAAGAAATATTTCATATAAACAATTTTTGATATCCACACTGGTTTCCGTAATAATCGAATGTCACAAGATAAATGGACCACAATATATAGCATTAGTAAGAGATATTAACTAAGAAATGCAAAAAAATTTCAATTTGGCTAAGCCTTCCATGAATGTTTATGATATTTGTTAGCTGTATTAAATACCTAAATCTATAGATCAACAAGTTTAAGTTTACCCAACTTTGCTGATGTTTCTGGTTAGTCAGGAGTATTGGAACGGTCCCATGGCTCTGTTATTTTAAAAGATACCCTATCAACTTTTGGAATTTTCAGTTTTTTTCTACTTCTTGTTGTATTGGAAGTTAATGCCAATTTGCTTATTTTAAATACAGCATCGAGTATTTTTGAGTTTTTACATTCTAGGCATTAAATTGATTACGTTTTTATTGCGTGGTTTCAAAATGTAGAATTTTCTGTTATGTTAAATGTTAGCTGGTAGGTTGGACTAATAAAGCGAGTATTTAAAAATGTTGTTCAGGTTGCCAAAAAAAAAAATTATCTCACATTGAAAAGACTTTGAAGGCAAATGTGTTGTTCATTTTAAAAGGTTTTAAGTCTAGATTTTGTTCTGAATAGATTTTTATTATGGGTCCTTATGTTTAAAGTTAACGGTTTTGCCACAATTTGCAATTTCTTCATATTACGAGTATAATCATTGCATTTAAATTAAGAGTCTTCTGTACTACAACACCCGTCACCAAATGTAAATTTCCATAAGAGCGGCCACCATAAAAACATTTATTTTTCGAAAAAAATTTTATATTTTATGAATTGTTTTATAAATTTAGACCTTTTAACTACAAAATGTTTGTATTAATTTTTTACAAAAGTTTACAGTGGCTAAACTTCATAATATGTTTATACATTTGATGTTGCGCACCAACTGTTAGCGTAATCTGTTTTACAATTTTACTAACGATTAGGATCATTTCTGAGATAATTTTAAACCTTCAGTTTTGTAGATAGGATGCTTTTAAGCATTGTCCCAAAAATCCCAAAAATGATCTCACTCTTAAAAGTATGCTATCTGCAAAACTATCGGTTTACTTATTTCAGAAATGATCCTAATCGTTAGTAAAATTATAAAACAAATTACGCTAACAATTGGCCCAAAACATCTAATGTTCAAACAGTTGATATTCAGCCTCTATAAACTTAAAAAAAATTAGTCCGATCATTTTGTAGATGAGCGACTAAATTTATAAAACAATTCACAAAATATAACATTTTTTGAAAAAATAAGTATGTTTTTATAGAGGGCGCCCTTATGGAAATTTACATTGTGTGTAGTAGTACAAAAGACTCTTAGATATCTTCGGAATGGTTACGTTTGGGAAGAGGGAAACCTGATGTGAAGTTAATCCGTTTTATACTTATACAGTGTGTTTTATGTAAGCTGAGAATGTTACATTAATTTCCGGTACAACTAAAAGAACTAGAAATATCGGAAAATCCCAAAAACTGATAGGGCTAAGCATATCCACACTACATTTTAAAGACATATTTTTTTAAATATAACAGAACTATGGGACCGTTCCGAGACTTCCGACTAACCTTGTACATAACGGAAACAGCAAAGCTTAGTAAACTTGTTGATCCAACTTTAGGTATTTAGTACAGACGCTATAATATAGTATATTAAAGTATAAGTGGATAATACGGTCTTTAAAACACGCGCGAAATAGCGCAAGTGTTTTTAAAGGCCAGTTATCAACGAATACTTTACGCTATTATTTATTATACCTGCAATCTATTTGAAAATAAAGGAAATAAGGAAAAATCATATGAATGTTATTCTCCAATACATTTCTGATTTAGTGGGCTGCTTTCGTAATTCCATGGTTACCGCAAGGGAAATGTCTAGTTTTATACGTCAAATTTGAAGTAAGTCACTTTGTAACCTTTAAAACACGGCGTGCTTTAAATGCCTTTTTTCGCAAGCTCAGGGGGGCTTTAAACGGCGATTCTGATGCAGGTATAATAAAAAATATGTATCTTGATGACAGGCGTAGACAATTTTTTTTGGACATTTCTGACTTAATTAATCTCTCTTAGAGGATTCTGAGAAGTTCCACAGATATTTACGCGATCTTTACAAATTCTTCCAACAGGAGGTTTGTGTATGTGTATTAATCATGATATTTAATATTACCGTTTGACAATATAAACAAATAATATACCTACATATATAACATATTTCAGACATTAAAAAATGATGATCGGGCTCGAGATACTGTACCAGAAACCAATTATTTCACAAACAACGAAGTCATCTCTGCGGGAGCCAGAGTTGTAAGTTAATTCTAATTTCGTGTTTGATTTTTAATTTATCTTTTTGATAATTACAATAGTCATGCATGAGCAGTGTAAGAAAAACAAAGAAAAGGACAATGTGTCAGTATTGCAAGACGGACGTTACAAATTTTGAGCGTCATTTAGAACGCAATCATCGCGATGAAAAAGAAGTTCTAGACTTTTTATCCTACCCAAAAAAACACCAGGAAAGAAAAAAAATTTTAAATGTGATCCGGAACTCCGGGCATTTTCTCGAATACTTGAGGGGTAACGTAAAACCGAAATACAATCATAATACAAAGAACAAGAAATATTTTCCTTGTTCACGATGCAAAGCACTATTGACGAAAGAGTATTTATCTCGGCATAAAAAAAGATGTGTGCTTAAAGATGCAGGCGGTAAACAAAACCAATTATCTGCATCACAGACTCTAATCGCAACCGCATTAGACCGAAATAACACTCTTTCAAAATTACGAGTGAAACAAGAAGTTTTTTCACATATGAAAGCTGATCTAATATCACTGATAGTGAAAACTGATCCTTTAATTTTTTCTTTTGGCGAGAATTATTTAAAGAAGCATAAACGCGAACAACTTGTGTCAGTGTGCTCAAATAAAATGAGAGAATTAGCAAGGTTTGTAATAGAGTTTCGAAAATGTACTAATAATTCCCGTCTTAATTTACAAGACACTTTGAAACCACAATTATTTGATGTTGCAATTGAATGTGCCAAAAATGTTGGGGGATACGATTGTGAAAAAAAGACTTATAGAGCACCGAGTCTCTCAGCTCACATAGGGACGTCTCTAAAACAAGTATGTGAATTGTACATGAGACTTTTGTTGAAAGAAGACAAATCTATAAACTGTACAAATAAGGAGGAGCGCTTAAAAGATGCGAAACGGTTTAAGGATCTGATCGAGTCCCAATGGACGACTGAGATATCTAGCCTGGCCTTTAAAGATCTTCATGAAAAACAGTGGCAGAAGCCATCAATTCTGCCGTTGACGAAAGATATTTTAAAATTCAAGGAATACGTCACCGATGTTGCCAACAAATCTATGGCGGTACTCAAAACCAATCCAGAAAACAAAAAAGAATTGACGAATCTAATTCATGCATCACTTGTTTTAACCATATTATTCAATAGAAAAAGAATTGGGGACGTTCAGTATACGTACCTGAAGACTTACACCGACCATAGAGTAGGGCTTAATCAAGAAGAGTGTATAAATGCATTGTCCGAGTCAGAAAAAGCGTTGACTAAATATTATAAACGAATTGTAACAGGTGGCAAGGGTAGTAGACCTATTGCAGTTCTATTTCCCTTAAATTTGCAAACTTACATAGATTTTTTCGTAAAAATACGATTGGAGGGGAACTTGGTTCCCCACAACAATCCCTACTTATTTGGATGTCCAAATACAGAAAAATGGACCAAAGCTGACGTTGTTTTCCGAAAATTTGCAACAAATGCAAATTTAGAGTTTCCCGCACATATATCGTCAAACAAATTACGTAAGCAAATTGCCACAGTTATGCAAATATTAAATTTAACAAAGGAAGAATCGGAACAATTCGCCCAATTTATGGGCCATACAGAAAAGACACATAATGAATTTTACAAGTAAGTTACCTACTTCTCAGTTACAAACTAATGCTTAAAAATTAGGTTACCACAAGACGTTTATCAAACGGCAAAAATTTCCAAACTTCTATTGCTCATGGATAAAGGAGTAAACACGTTCCAAGGAAAAGCGTTAAATGAAATCGACATTGACCCTCATGTGGAATTAGCAGAAGCGGAGTCGGACAACGATGAGATTCAGTGGACGCCACCATCACCGTGTAAATCGCAAGGTAATAAATGACAATGGCCAGTTGTACTTCTATTTTATTAGTTCCCCAAATCGACTAGTTTCGACCAATGAGCCTTTATGACAATACTAACAATGATTTACATTTTTACTAGTGACGAGCGACATAAAATTGACAGATACAAGAAGCAAGATGGCAACTTTATCGCATTTTGAATTTTTTTTGTGGAGAGGGACGTCATGCGATACCTCATTTTGAAGGACCTTTTATCCACAGTTCACCTATCTCCTCTGTAAACACAGCTAAGGGGGCGCTTCGTCCAAGAGTATGGCTTCTAAATTTTATGATAACGAAAACCGATACGTTGAAAGTTTAGACTTTAATTTTTAGTCGAAAAAGCACCAAACGTACTGTTAAAAATATCTTCCTAGTTCTATGAAAATTTTAGAAACAATAAACTTTGACGAAGCTGTGGTTGCAGTGGGGGTTTGCAACTGAGGAGGTGAGCTGCGGATAAAAAGACATTTAAAACAAGGTATCTTATGACTCCCCTCCCCATCAAAAAGTTATAATGGTCTACACTCCCCTAGGAAAATTATTAGCTGTCAATTTTATATCATGAAGTAATATTTGAAACCTTACTTCTCCACCGCCACGCCAAGAGGTGAGGTGGGGGTGGGGGGTTGGGGGGGTCAATAACGTCCGCACCGTCAAATTCCGTTGTATTGTGACTGAATGATAAGATATTTGTCTAATTCCGAAATTTAAATATGTAATTCTTAGTCTCCGACCGGTTAGCACCAAGATGGCCATCCGACATATTGTGTTTGGGTTCATATAATTTGTATATAAAAATTTTTTTTTCACTACTAGCGTCTGATGACATGATTATTAACCTTTTTTCCACTTGTAAAGTAGGCTTTCTCGGCATTTGTTCAAAGTGGTTAATAATTTTTTATTATTAACTAGTAGTCAATAATGAGAACTGTCACGCTGTCACTTTTAGAAAACACAACCCGAAATTTCGCTCAATGAACGTTTAGACAAGTTCTCTAAAACGAATAATTGCCACCATTCGCAATTTCCAGAGAAATTACATACCTAAAATTATCACATTTTGAAAAAATTCGAACGAAATTACTCTTTGAAAAATCTCAATGACAGAACAAAATACGGCCTGTTTGACTTGTACTTCCACGTACTTGATTGACATGTTAAATTAATAAACAAAAAATTCTGTCCAACCGTTAACTCTCTTATCAATATAATATGTTAATTTAGAGGATTTCAAGTGCTAGTAGTGAAAAAAATAGTATATATACCACGGTAGAGAAGTCTATTATTGCCTTCGCACCTTACACCCCTCGGCGCAAGCGCCTCGAGATGTAATCTTGGTGCTCAGGCAATAATACTGGACTTCTCTACCTTGATATATAATGTACTATTAATCTTAGGTATATCTGTGCAAAAGTTGTTTTTTTTTTGCAAAAACTGTTGATAAATATTGAACTAATAACTGCTATATATTAATATTACATTCTTAGATGAACCAGACGAAAAATCAAAAAAATCGAAATTAACGGGTCGCACTCCATGGACTGAAGCGCAATCACTTCTGGTGAAAAATCATTTTAAAAAACATATCCGCCTAAAACAAGCACCAAAAAAAAATGAATGCATAGAATTTATGGAAAAACATCCAACAATATTTCAAAATAAGGACTGGGTGAGGGTAAAAACATTTGTGTATAACACCTATCGGAAATAGATTTATAACATTATGTCTTTTTTATCACACATAGAAGAATGTATTTATTTTAATGAATACTGTTTATTTGAGTTTCTTTTTTCCCACTAGTGTACTGTTTTAGTTTTATGATTACGCCTATAAATTACCAGAAAAAAACAATTTATTTTATTAAGATTTTATAAAACAAATGTACCTATTTACAATGTATCCTTTACATAATTCATTATATAATAGTTTGTTTTTTATTTACTTGACTGACCTATTTACCCTAAATGTCTAAATCTGACTTAGTAATGAAGGCGTTATGAAATAAATTATGTACATGTCGCAGTTTCTCGACTAGAAGAACTCCGTCCCGTACTCCCATTATCTTAGGATTGTGCACAATTCCCTTTGCAATGGCTGCTGCCTCAGTCGACTTATCCTTCAAATTATTTTTCTAATAATTAACAGGTTCATTTCAAAACGACTACTTACCTAGCTCAATAGGAAACATTGATACGAAAAATAGAACTGAAATTTATTTCTTGAGTACACATCCGTAAATATGTAGAAGTTGATATCTCACAACAATTAGTTTTAGGTCTTGAGATTATACCGTGCGTTTTAAGTTCTATCCATATGGATTTACATATTAATTTGGAAACACTATGTTATCCTACATTATAGAAAAGCTAGCACACTCAAATTGCGCACACTGATAGATACAATAACTATCACACGCATTTTCAATAAAAACTTTCAAACAAATGCAGAGATTTCACGTTCTGTCAACTGGTCTGTTCACTTAATAATTTAATAACAATTCAATATTTGTTTTTATTGAAAATGTGCGTGATTGTAGTTAGTTATTGTATCTATCAGTGCGCGCAGTTTCAATTTGCTAGTATTTCTAGATGTTAGGGTAACATGGGGATCCCAAATTAACATGTTGATCTCTATGGGCAAAACTAAAAAACACGCACAGCCTTCGCTAGACAACTGAAATCAATTGTTTTATGCATTATAAAAATATATGCGCTATCGAAATTCTGAAAAACAAAAATTAAGCAAAATAGTTAGAATATCTTACACTTACCTATTCCATGTTCTGCAATACATAGCCGATAGACCTCCACTACAGCGTTGCCACATCTCAGTGGTGTGTTAGCGCAAAACATGTATGGAGACGTATTGTACATTGCTTAAATACATCATGTATAAGTGTATTAGTTAACAGCGCCATCTGCACAACCTGCCTCGAACAATGGAGTGTATTTGCACATAAAATTCCGACGAAATGGCCTCTGACAAAAAATTGTAAAAATGACGCCTTACCAATATGCAACACTTTTGGCATCGATATACACGCAATTTCGAACTCGCCTCCGATTTTACGAATACGCCTCCGATTTTGGAGGTGTGTTCGTTGAGAGAGTATCTATATCGGAGGCGTATAAGACATATTATATATATATATATATATATATATATATATATATATATATATATATATTATATATATATATATATATATGTAAATAAATTTTTTTACTCACCAACTTGCTTCCAATGTCTTAATGTTCGTTCACTAACTACAGGAGACACATTGGGTACAAGGTACTGCTTGTTAATCCTTTTTCTTTTAGCAAATTGTGACATTTTTAGGTGAAAGTTATCCAAATCAACATAGAACCATAACCTTATTAAAATTCTAGAATTCGACGAAATGGAATATGAACTTCTATTGTTATTCATAGAAATTTTCCAATAAGATTTCTATAGTTTTGTATTGGGACGTTTGAATTGTAATACGGTTATAAAACGATTGGCTTATATTGGAATTGTGGCATTGAATTGTAATACGGTTTTAAAACGATTGGCTTATATTGGAATATGTAGTAAATTATATGGAGACGGTTGTGAAACGATTGGTTTATAATTGGAGTCTTTAATGGGAAAAAAAAGGCCAACGTGTTTCATTCCTCCGGCACCCCTGACTACAGGGATGCCGGAGGCGGGCTGCTCAGGGCTTCCTGGCCCTCTTCAGCCAGTGAACGGGATTGTAAGGATGGGTAAAGCTAGGGATGGGAACGGAAGGAACGGGGTTAGGGTGCTGAGGGGGAGAGTACTGCTCCAGCATTCGCCTCGTAGATTTCAACATAATGCTAGCATTATGCGAAGCTACGTATGTCTGAGGAAAACCCCCTGACAAAACCCCAGACAGAGCAGTCGGCAGCGGGATTCGAACCCACAACCTCCCGAATAGCATCGGTGAGCGCATCCACTGCGCCACATGCCTCGGTATGTTTAATGGCTTCTATTGTGTACTAATGTGTAATAATTGGGTCCTATTGGCATCTAATAGAATTTCCAAATAAGAATTCAATCAGTTTTTATTGTGAATTTACCATGGCAATATACACATATTGATGCCAATAGGGCCCAATAAAAAAATTTATTGGTTTCTATCAGCCATTTGCAACAGGGATATTTATTCTTTATCGCCTTCTTGTCTTGCGGTAAATTCACAAGTTCCCATGTGTTATTATCGTGGAGAGAGGCAATTTCTTCGTCCATAGCCTATCACCACTCGCTAGAGTCATTTGAATGTATGGCGGAGGTGTAATCATGTGGAAGATCACATTCTGCAAACAGAACATAATCATCCAAATATTTTGGTCCACTTACTACTCGTTTTTACTTCTTTTCAGGAAAAATTACCGGATTACATTCTTCCTCTACATCTACGTTTCTTCTTCCTTAAGGTAAGTTCTCAAGATATAGATATCGAAGCCGGAAGACAAAGAATATACACGATGAGTCATCTACAATTTGTAACCGTCCGTTACAAAATGGCACCCAATCGGTGGGCTTCGAACCATTAACACCTGTAAAGAAGAGTCAATGCTAATAAATCGATACCAGTGGCGTACCCAAGAAAATTTTAAACAGCAAGAAAAAAACCCAGTCATACAGTATGGAATTAAGATAAGGTTTCAAGAAAGCGACTAGAACAATTCAGAAGAATAAAATGCAGGCAACCCATGGTAGTGAAGACATCGTCTTCAGTCAAGAAAGCCAAAACAGCCTCTCAACTACAAACACAAAATATGGACCTAACAATTTTGGTAAAATTAATGCAAGAAATGAAAGCAGGACAAGACCAAATGGAAGAAAAAATAGAAGCAGGACAAGAAAAAATGAAACAGAAAATAGAAGCAGGACAAGAACAAATTATCAAAAGTCAAGAAAAGAATATGGCACAATTACGAAGTGAAATAAGAAGTCAAAAAGAGGAATGAGAAAAGAAATTCATAATGCAAGAAATGCATCAGCAGCATATTGGATTCGCCCAACAGGTAGACTACGAGTTTAGAAAAATGGAACATAAAATCACCGGAAACGAAAAAGTAACTGACCAAAAGATGCCTGAACTAGACAACAAAGTAGAAAGTAATGCGGAAGAAATTGAAGAGATAAAAGAAAACAAAATAATTGCCACTCCAAATGCGAGCATCATTATTTACAAGAATAAAGGATTAGGAATGCAGAAACCTAAGAAGTTGCATAAAGAAGTTAATTGAAATATTGGAAAAAATTCTAGAAAATAGTCGAGATTGGAGAAGAGATACGAACAGGATCAAGATCCACGTAATTATCAAAACCGAAACCGAGAAAACCAAGATATAAGAGAGAATAGAAACAATTATGAAAGAAGAGATCAAGATCAGAGAAATTACCAAATCAGAAACAATCAATTTCAAGATAATAGGAGAAATGCTCACCATGTGAATTATGGGAGAGGAAGAGGAAATTATGGCTCATACCCAAGAAGCTATGATGACCATCGACAACAAGAAGGGGCTGTAGGCTACCAGTCCCGAAGAGACAACCACGGAAACTAGATTCCATATCCGGGAGAATATTTATTTGAAACAAATCGCATCTTCAATTAGAGATTATTCCGGGCATGCATTCGGTATTCTGTCTCAACGATGGCGGATTTTACGGAAAACTATAATTGCGGATGTCAGTCTATGTGAAGATATCGTAAAAGCAGCAGTAATTAAAATTTTTTTAATTAAAGGTGCGTTTTCCTCGAAGCGGCTGGCATTATCGGGCGCGACTCGGCGATTATCGCTAGCCTCTGCTTGTATAAGAAAACAATATAATCGTTTTCCTTCAAGCGGCCACGATTGTCGACGGAGACTGTCTTCGGAGATAGTCGCAGTAGTCTGCTTCGAGACCAGTATAATCGCGATCGCCGATGTGTCGATGAACGCTGAAGATGAAGAATTAATTGAAATGGTGGCTAAGCACCCATCCTTATATGACTTGCAAAATCCTGGTTATAAAAGCTAAAGGATCATTTGGCAAGTGTCTGTTTATCAACAAATTGTAGCAACCTTCTCCTAATCGCTCTTTAGAAATGGGAGAAGTAGTGCGCCTTTTATTTCAAACTATTTCCTGTAATATACAGCCTTCTTCCTACAACAAAAGAGAATTTTCTGCATTTATGTTGAAAACTCAACTGCAAAAATATAGTTGATAATCGCCACTGCCAGCAACGCAATCGCTTGGAGGAAAACATTCAAACGTAGTGTTGTCTGATTTCAAGGTAAATGGCAGGTGGATGGATGAAGATCTTTTCTGTCAGTCTTTAACATCAGCACCGGAACGCATAAGGCAAGACCTCATAATACACTACCGCAGGATCAAACTGGACGACTGCTTTTCCACCACTTACCACAACCGTGATCAACCAACCAACATATTAACTTTCAAATCTTCTGCTCTGAATTATGTAAAGTTAACCCAATCTTCAAGGAGAAATCTGCAGTCTCAGATCACAATGTCAGTTTTCAACCACAATCCCCATACAGATTTAGAGAACCAGTGGGTTGATTGCAGGACGGAATGGAAATCTTTCTTCAGTAAACTCACACCTGGCTACATTGCGAAAATACCCTGGCGTTTTGCGAAGAATAGGTTAGCACAGGGGTCGGTAACCGGTCGATCGCGCAACATTTATTAGTCGATCTTAAGAGCACTTAAAATTAAACCGGCGAAAATAATTTTTTAGGTTCTTAAAAATTTTTTGCAACTCAACGTGTGCGTTAGCAAAGAAGGGAAATCTTGAAAGACATTTTAATACGCGCCATTCCAGTTACGTCAGAGATTTTCCGCTCAAATCTGCATTGAGAAGCGCTCAAGTGAAAAAACTAAAATCTACGTTGCATTCCCAGCAAAACCTTTTTAAGAGGGTGTGCGATAAATCAGTAGCTGCAACAGTGGCGTCGTTACGAGTAACCCGGCTTCTTTCCCAGCACAAAAAACCATTCACAGACGGCGGAATATTCAAACAGGCCTTCTTAGAAGCAGGCGACTCGTTATTTGAGAACTTCAAAAATAAATCGGAAATTGTAGCGGGCATCCAAAACGTCCAGTTATCCGCTACAACTGTTACAAAACGAGTTGGAGTAATGGCAACTGATATGCAAAATCAGCTTAAAAACGATTTCGAAAAATGCACATGGTTTTCTTTTCAGTTGGATGAGTCAACCGATGCTTGTGACACAGCACAGTTAAGTATATTTGCGCGATTAGTTTTCCCCGATACAAGTGCTACGGAAGAATTAGTTAAAATTATTCCATTAAAAGAAAAAACAAGAGGGGAAGACATATTCAACATTTTTTAAAATTATATAAATACTGAAAAGTTGCCCATAAAAAAACTTGTATCTATAACGACTGACGGTGCACCAGCAATGGTTGGGAAAGAAAAGGGATTTCTTGCACTTTGTAGAAAAGATGAAGAATTTCCAAAATTTATGTCGTATCACTGTATCATCCACCAGCAAGCATTATGCGGCAAATTGTTAAATTTAGATGACGTGATGAAAACCACGATAAAAATTATAAATTCTATTAGAGCCAGGCCAATGTACGAAAGCGTCTAAGGGTCACAAAATTATAATAAAATTATTTTTTCCAATATATTGGAAAAAATTGAATGTATTGGGAAAAAAATTGAATATATTGGAAAAATATTGAATATATTGGAAAAAAATTGAATATATTGGAAACAATTGAATATATTGCGAAAAACTTAAAAATATTGCGAAAAAATGTAATATATTGGAAAAAAAATGTTACACAAACTCAACACTTATGTCGGATATTGCAGAGTGAGTTACGAGTTTAATGTGCAGTGGCATTTGTGGAAAATCGAAATGAATAACGTAGATTTATTTGATGCACCCAGCAACGTTACCGACAGAGACTTACTGTCTCTGCGCTACCGATGATTTACTTTCTCTCCATTTTCGTTGTCCGGCCAAGAATTGCAGTGGAACTTTTTTTTCGAATTTTCAAAAACTAATTCCAGATTCGTCATTTTCTTGTTCAAAAACGCCCACATACCAAATTTCGTCGAAATCA